ACAAAAAAAAGAAAAGTCTTTAAAAAGCTCTTTGGGCTCACCATCATATGTGTAGTCTGTCACTAACAGAAAGCCCTACATGACACATGACTATACCAACAGGAGTCAAAAGTTCTTACATTTGTTTCCACAGCTACTGAAAATAGTCCATCCTTCTGAACTGACTATCCTTTTCTTATTTCTGCCCCCAACTTATAGCTGGTCTCTAGGACTGGGGTATGACTTCTTTAGAGTAACAGTACTTTCCAACGCATGCAGTTTAGTGTCTGTATCTTCCCTCTACCAACACAGTTCTAATGAAGATGACAAAGGTCTCCAATGGTAAAGGAAGAGGAGAGCTACCATACTGAGTTAAAGAATGTCAGGGATGAAGAGATGGAAATTTCCATAGTCTCTCTTCATTTAACACATTCCTCTTTGCTACAGGACCTATATCAATTATTCCTAAGCCCTAAATCCAGTCTCTCAGCCACTCAGGTGACAGTGGCGATTAAACTATTTATTTCTCAGCTTTGTTTGATTATTCAGACACACCTAAAACCCCAAAAGTCTGTGGAATTTACCATTGCTTCCCAGCCTCCTAATAACCTCTAAAGCCTACTCTTGTCCTTCATTACTGTATAGCCAGACTTCTCTAGAGAAATAGAACTGATGGAATGAATATATGGGATATATTAGAATGGCTTATAAATTTGTGGTCTAGCTAGTTCAACAATGGCTGTCTACCAATGGAATATCAAGAATACAGTAGTTGTTCAGTCTAGGAGGCTGGATGTCTCAGCTGGTCTTCAGCATACACTGGAATACCAAAGAAATAGGTTCTAATGTGAAGAAATACACTTATGAGAGAGAGTGAGATCAAACAGGCAAAAATAAAGAGCTTCCTTCTTCCAGGTTTATACATAGGCCAGAAGGTATTGCCCAGATTTAAGACAGATCTTCTCACCTCAAAAGATCTGTATTGGCCAGGCAGTGGTGGCACACGCCTTTAATCCCAGTACTTGGGAGGCAGAGGCAGGCAGATTTCTGAGTTCAATGCCAGCCTGGTCTACAGAGTGAGTTTCAGGACAGCCAGAGCTACACAGAGAAACCCTGTCTTGAAAGACAAAACAACAACAACAAAATCTGTATTTGGTATGAGTCTTCTCATTTCAAATGACTTAATTAAGAAAAACTCCTTAAAGGTGTTCCCAGTCACTTGGTTGGGTTTTAGTTAGTTCCAGCTGTAGACAAGCTGACTACCAAGAATAGACATCACAAGTCTATCCCTTGTCAGCATGATACACAATAATATCTCATGTCATGATTAATATCCATATGGAAGCAATAACCAGGTCATAATTATGCCTAATATGATATAACCATCCTATGTACAATTGCAAACACATTATAAATTTTAGTATAGGTGGCAATGTCTATTTGAGGGATATTCTTTTAGTATTTCAAGACTTAAACCCAAGAGTCTTGTGAACTCAGTTTCTTCAAAAACATTGTTCTTGGAATGTGCTTTTGAGCCCCTCCAGGTATAGTGGATAGGAGTGAGTTTGCTTTTTATTCCTTACATCTGGCTTTTATTATTTGTTTATATCTCTATGGAAAATGTTTTTCCAGGTGCAGCTTATTCTTGTGGTTGAACATCTTAGTAATGTGATTCTTCTTAACCCCCAGGGTATAAGTTGCCTGATATTCTGATTGAAGTTGACTATTGCACGATACTGTAGCCCACCTCATTTTCAGGCTCCATTCTCACACAAATTTCTGCACAAACACATCTTAACAAAACATGTCAGAAATACTCATGACAATTATAATCTTTATTTCAAAACTGATCACAATGACATTAGCTGATATTTATAAGTACCTTCTTCTACTACCCATTCTGTATTTCTTCCACCCTCAGCAAGCACCTCAGCTGGTTTTGGCTAATGCTGTCGTGATCCATACCTTCATTCCTGAAGGGTCTGTGCCCTTTGTCATCCTGCCAGGACTGGGTTGTAGTTTCCCACTGACTGTAATAACAGGACCTGGTATCACCAAGAGACACCCCAAAGGATCTCCTGAATTCCAGACATAATCTTTCTTACCTCCATTATGGAGAAGCAATCTAATTTCCCTATGATAACAGGATCAATCAGCCCCTCCTAACACTGTTATTCTTTTCTTAGTCTGTCGGTTAATGGCATTAGGAGCCCAAAGTGGCCAGGGAGAAGTCTGAGCTTCCAGTTCAATGTAATGTTTGTTCCTGGTAGATGCGCTCCCCACTCTGGTACCAAAACTTCTAGGCTAATAAGAACTTAAAGTCACAGGAACAGGAAGCAAACATTTTCCTAATGGCTCACTAGGGGTGATAGTGGGTAGAACTATTTCCTTTTCTAATTATGATTCCTGGACCCATGGATCCTGGCTATACCACATATGGGATGCTAATTTAAAACATAAACCACATTCTGAAAAAACCTACCCCAGCACTCCAGGCTGCTGCTTTCTAATTGACTCTGAAACTGTGTCTTCAAAAGACTATTCCATCTTTCTGTCAGGCCAGCTGCATCAGGATAGTGGAGAACATGGTAAGACCAGTGGATTCCATGATTGTGGGCTCACTGTCTCACTTCTCTGGCAAGTGAAGTGAGTTCCTTGGTCAGAAGCAATACTGTGTGAAATACCATAGTGGTGGATAAGGCAGTCTGTAAATCTACAGACAGTAGTTTTCACAGAACCAATACAGGCAAGAAAAGCAAACTCATAACCAGAATAAGTGTATACCAAAGTAAGAACAAATTATTGTTTTCATAGAGGAAATGTCCAATGTAATCAATCTGCAACCAGATCCCTGACTGATGGGTCACCTTGTCATATCTCTGGTAAATTTGGCACTGAGCAGCAGCTATTCTCAGGTCACATTTGATGAGTGGAAGTCCATTTTGTTATGCCCATGCATAACCTCCATCTCTGCAACTACGGCCACTTTGGCTTTGAGCAATGACAGGTATGGCTGGGGAAAGAGGCTGGCTGTCTACAGAATAGGCCATTTTATCTATTTGATTACTGAATCCTTCCTCTGCTTAAGCAACCTTTGGATGAGCATTTACATGGGACACAAGTATCTTTACATCCTTTGCCTATTTGGAGAGGGCCACATACTTCTTTCCCAAATGTCTTCCTTACCAATTTCCAATCATGGCCAAAATTTCTAAGTCCCTGACCATCTAGTCAATCCACTGGCTACAACCCATCACTTTAGTGAACAATGACAAATATGGCCATTTCTCTTTTCAAACAAAATGTATGAGCATGTATACTTCCCTTTGCCTGTATCTTTCAGGGTTGTCCGGGAAAGGGGTTTAATGTTGCGCTGTCTATTTTGGTGTGGTGCCTGCATAACACACAGAACCATCAGTAAACCATCTTTCTCAGTCACCTGATCGTAGGGCACACCACATGAGGCTAAAGGTGCATGTTTGGGAGCATATAGCATTATAATGGAACTAGAAACCACAGATATTTGGGCAACATCTTCATGTAATGAGCTCGTGTCTTCAGGACCAGCCTGGGTCCAACATACATATATTTACTACTTCCATTTGATAATCGATTCTAACCTGGCAGTGGTATCACATGCCTTTACTTCCAGTACTGAGGAGGAAGAGGAAGGAAGATCTCTGAGTCTGAAGTCAGTGTGGTCTGCAGAATGAGTTCTAAGACAGTCAGGCTTACACAGAGAAACCCTGAGAGGTGGGGGGGGAGCTATAATGAAACATTGTTGTGTACATCCTACTTTATAGACTAGGGTCAGATACTCAGCTTTCTTGCACATACTTTCCTTCCCTCCAAGCCCCTCTAAACTGTAGCCAGAACAAGTTTTTGTATTGTTTTCTGGTTTTATTTTTTTATTTTTGTTCTGTATTGTTGGGTTTTATTGTTGTTTGCTCTTTTGGAGACAGGGTCTTTTTTTTTTTAGGATTTATTCATTTTTATGTGTGTTTTGCCTACATTTATGTCTGTGTAAACATGCCAGGCCCCCAGGAACTGGAGTTACAAACAGTTGTCAACTACCATGTAAGTGCTGGGAATTAGACCCTGGTCCTCTGGAAGGGCAGTCAGTGTTCTTAACCAGGGAGCCATCTCTCCAGTCCCCAGAGACAGGGTCTTGATATGTCATCAAAGTCTGCCTAAAACCATGATCCTTCTGCCACTACTGCCTGCATGCAGGAGGCACAGGTATGTTGCATCACATCTGACCAGAGAAATCTTTGAAAACTACAATGAAAATGTCATTTTAAATATCCTCTGAGCTCAAGACAAGCTTTTCCACATTTCTCTGGGCCTTAGTGTCCTTTCTGTGAGGTATGTGATTGTCCACACAGCTACACAAAGCACCACCTCTTTATTATTACCAGATTACCTCAGAAACACTTCTTCCTTCCTCTGTTCATATGGAAGCTGAGATTAATCAAAATGTTCAAAAAAGAACTTCCCTGTCCATAGCCAAAGGAAAACACTTTGAGAAAATGCTTAGGTCTAGGAAAATATTTTTAGACTCTTCTCAAGCTAGACACAGCATATGGAAAGCAGAGGAAGTTAGGATGGTTATGTCATGGTGTTCGGCTTGACACCATGGCCCTCTTCAGTGCAACCTTTATGTGCATGTGATCATTAATCTTCACTTAACCCTTTCTACACAGAATTAGTGAAGGGGATCATTTTAATTGAAAAGCTATGCAGATAAGAACTTAACTTGTATAAAATAAACAAAACACAACAAATGTCCTGTCGTCCTTTGTCTTGGAATTACCAACAGATAATAAACACACAAACCATATGTAGAAAAAGACACATGCTTTTACCATCCTAGAACTTCAGAAGTAGGAGCAGAAGGATCAGATAGTCAAGGTCAACTTTAGCTTACAAAGTGAGTCTGGAGCCTGCCTAAGTTATATCAAACCTGTCTCAACAAACCCAAATACCCATAATACACGCAAGGCTGAGCACTGAACACTTACCCGGCACATTCTGCGAAAACATTTTGAGAGGGAGAATTCTGCTTCAGATTCCATTTACACTCTTTCACAATAGCTGGAGGTATCTGTGGTAAGGGGACTTCTGACTTCTGAATATTGCACAAATATATATCAATTAGTGTTTTCATAGTTTACCAATCATACAAAGAACCTAATGCCTGCTATAAAAATTTTAATTATAATTTATAATTATTTTATATGAAATAATAAGTCAAAGTATCACCCCAGTACCACACTTCAGCATTCATCCCATTTCTGTTTTCTAAGCCTGTTGTTACAAACTCAAAACACATACAGAACAGAAAACAGGATCTCTTTGATCTCCTGTTTTAGCCAAAAGATAAGAATAGCAAGTCTGGGGATGTGGCTGATAAGAAGAGTATTTGTCTAGCATATAAACAGGCTTAATCCTCAGCACTGAACAAGCCTAGCATGAAAAACACCCCAAGTCTATGAATGGATGACTGGACAGATATAAAAAGGAAAAAAGACTATTATTGTTGTTATTATTTTGTTGTTGTTATTATATGGGTGTTTTGTTTACATGTGTGCAATGCCAACAGAAGAAGGCACCAGACCCCCTCAATGGAGTTATAGACAGTTGAGCCATCATGTGGGTGCTGAGAGTTGAACCCAGGTTCTCTAGAAGAGGACCAGTGCTCTTAACCACTGAGCCACCATTCCACCCCAAGAAAAGGCTTTAAAAAAGACATTCCTAAGCCAAGGACATAGATCAATGGTATAATATTTGCCTTGAATTCAATCCCTGGCAGTGCAAAATTAATTAATTTTTAAAAATTACAAAATTGACTCATTCTAATTCTACAACATAGATAATCATTAAAAACATTATACTGAATAAAATAAATCAGTCCCAAAAGAATTAGCTTCACTTATGGATATATATGTGGGCAGTAAATCTGAAAATGTTAGAAAGTAAAGGAGTAATTAGTATGTGGGAAAAAAAGGAGATTAGACTGCTGTTAGTGCTGTCTTTTTATAAGATAAAAACATTCTAGAGATTGTTTGCATGACAGTATAAATATACTTAATTACTAAGCTATACAATTAGAAACAGATACCACACTCTGATCATAACACATGGCGAAATCAAGTTGGTACTGACCAGGAAGCTTTCATCTGGCTGATTCACTCTCATAGTACCCAAAGGTGCTATGTAAGTTTCTAGGGAAGAACAGTCATCAATAGTCTTAGACAGCGGTGAGCACTGTGAGCTACCTATGGACAGCATTGTGAGGTGTGTTCATTAGTGGCACAAATGTCATGGGGATAACAAATCACTCTCCAGTTGGATTTAAGGCCAACTCTGTGGGAGGTAACTCATACCTACTACTGTAAATCTGGCCCAAGATACATGATCAGGGAGTTCATAGGACCCGGGGTAAATATACTATTATTTTGTTAAATGGACATAATAACAAACTGCACCTCAAATGTGTATCTCTCTACCCATAGAGCAGTAAAGCTCTTAGCCCACCCCAGAGAATTTTCTTTGTGCAGTGGTTGGTGGTTAATGCAGAAAAATCACAATTGGTCAAAATATAAAGAATAAGTGTCTACAGAATCCTCAGCTACAATGGCACATCATGTTCCTTACCCCTAGGATTCAGCTATTCTCTTTGGAAGAGGGGAGAGAAGGATTATAAGAGCTACAGGTTGAGAAGGACTGGATGAAAATGGTGTCTTCTGGACATGACAACTACATTCATGAACTCATAGAAGCTGTGGTCACCTACACAAAACCTTCACACGATCAAGTCAGTAAACAATCTAGCATGGGGAAGGGGCTCACAAGTTCCCACCCCTAGATAAGGAGCTATTGACAGTTGACAGCTTCTACAGGAAGAAGACCCAGTTTTCATTAAAAGTGTGGCCTCTGATAAGTCAATCATGCTTCATATGGCACATACAGTGGATTATTTTTTAAAAGAAGACATGAAGTTAGGAAGAGGTAAAATGTGAGAGTTGGATCTGAGAGGAATTAAAGGGAAGAATATGAAGTAAATAGTATCAAAATATGCTGCATGCATGAATGAAATTCTCAAATAATTAATGAAAATATTACATTAAGAAGCACTCTCAGCCAGGCAGTGGTGGTGTGCGCCTTTAATCCCAGCACTTGGGAGGCAGAGGCAGGTGGATTCCTGAGTTTGAGGCCAGCCTGGTCTACAGAGTGAGTTCCAGGACCTACACAGAGAAACCCTGTCTTGAAAAAAACTTTAAAAAAAAAAAAAAAGAAGCACTCTCATGCAGGCAAAAGGGAGGAGGGAGGGCAGTAGTGGGATAGGGGTAGTGGTGGAGGGGTAACCAGGAAGTGGGATATCATTTGAGATGTAAACAAATGGAATGATTAACAAAAATTTAAAAAAAAAAAGAAGACATATTTTCTGGGCATGGTGTCACACATCTTTATTCCCAGAAAGTAGAGGTGGAGGATCTCTGTGAGTTAAAGGGCAGCCTATATTACAGAGTGAGCTCTAGGACTGTCAGGGCTATTTATATGTACAGAGACCTTGTTTCAAAAACGGAAACAAAGAAATTATTAATGTAAATTTCATCTTATATTTTTGAAATAACAGTTTAAAGCTTTAAAACAAGGGGCTGGAGAGATGGCTCAGTGGTTAAGAACACTGACTGCTCTTGCAGAAGTCCTAAGTTCAATTCCTAGGAACCACATGGTGGTTCACAACCATCTGTAATAGGATTGGATTCGATGCCCTCTTCTGGTGTGTCTAAAGAGACTGACAGTGTACTCACATACATAAAATAAATAAATCTTTTTAAAAAAAGAATTAAAAAAAACTTTAAAACACACAGTTATATGTTCAAAAACACAATGCTTTATCTTCATACAAACATGAGTGTGTGTGTGTGTTTGTATGTGTATAGCTTTTGTACACAGCACTGACTAAACATTCTATTTGCCAATTCTCCTACTGTAAACACCATTACCATGAACATCTCTAGCTATTTTGTTTCCGAAGAATGGGTTCTTAAAAACAAAATTACTATGTGGGGCAATGATAGTATGTCCTAGCGCTTGAGAAGCAGAGACAGATGATCTCTATGTTCAAAGCCAGCCTGGTCTACAAAGTGAATTCCAGAATAGCCAGGGGCTACTCAGAGAAAGTCTGTCTCAAAAAAACAAACAACAACAACAAAATAGAGTATGAGATTAATGGGCACACACATTTGAACAGTTAAACACTTTTTTTTTAAATTTACAGTGTTTAAGTGTTTTGCCTGAATGTATCTGTGTACCATGTGTGTGCAGTGCTCTTGGAGGTTAAAAGAAGGTAAGTAATCCTCTGAAACAGGAGTAAGAGTTTATTGTGAGCTGTCATATGTGTAAGAGGAAGAGAAGGAGGAAGAAGAAGAGGAAGAAGAGAAGGAAGAGGAGGAAGAGGAGGAAGAAGAGGAGGAGGAGAAGGAGGAAGAGGAAGAGAAGGAAGAAGAGAAGGAGAAGAAGATCAAAATGATCTTGTCTGAATACTTCTAAAGTTCTTACAGAATTTTCAGGAAACTTGGCAGGCCATTGACTGGACTGTGAAGAGAATCATGTTATCTCCCACCTCTGAAACTGCCCACCAGTTTCAGCATGGAAACTTGGTTTGGATAAAGCAGATCCTTGCCCAGATCTTGAAACATGTCTGAAAGGGACCCAATCTAGTTAACACACCACCTAAACTGCTATCAAAGTAACTGGTATCATCTCTTGAAAAGCAAAAAGACCACCAAGAATGATGACAGATGGACCATTATTTTGACTTTAGACTGACTTTCCAAAAGCTTGGTGGAATCAGATTATCAAATTCGAAGATAGAATTCAAACATATTTCTTTATCATGCTTTCCAGGTGCCTTGTGGAAGAAGGTTAAGAACTATATAAATAGGTAAGTGACAGGGCACCGATAAAGATAAAATAGAAAAAGGCTTAACTTCTTCTTAGCATTCTATTATACAAACTCCAGATTCTGCTTCTGATAATGTCATCACAAACAGCTTCTCATGGGTAATATGGAGCTAGCCTCCACATCATTCTCAAATTGCATTCTGTCTGTAGTCACTGCACATAAACACATAGAACACAGTCAGGCTAATTTTCTAATGTTTCTAGATTTGAGAAGATGAGCTGATGAAAGCTTTGAATACAGCTATACAAAATTCTCCCTCACGGACCATGAGGAGCAACATGGTTCTTGATCAGAAAAAAAAAATAAGCCAGGCAGTGGTGGCACATGCCTTTAATCCCACCACTTGGGAGGCAGAGACAAGTGGATTTCTAAGTTCGAGGCCAGCCTGGTCTACAAAGTGAGTTCCAGGACAGCCAAGGCTATACAGAGAAACCCTGTCTCTAAAAAACACAAAAGAAAAAAAAAAGAAAAAAAAAACAGTGGCCAATTACCCTGTTTCATAGAAAACATGGTTGTATGGATACATAAATCCTAAGGAATGTACAACAAACTTCTAAAGCTAATAAAACAAAAAGCTCAGGAAAAACACAAGATCACTGCATAAAATCAATTCTATTTTTCCATTATAGCAACAGATACCAGGTACTAAAGTTAAATCAGGAGCAAATAAACCATCTAAACAGTCCCATAACCCCTAAGGAAATAGCAGCAGTCATTAAAAGTCTCCCCACCAAAAAAAGCCCAGGTCCAGATGATTTTAGTGCAGAATTCTATCAGACCTTCAAGGAAGACCTAATATCAATTCTCTTCAAAATATTCCACAAAATAGAAACAGAAGGAACACTACCCAATCCGTTCTATGAAGCTACAATTACACTCATACCCAAACCTCAAAAAGACCCAACAAAGAAAGAGAGCTTCAGACCAATCTCCCTTATGAACATCGATGCAAAAATACTCAATAAAATTCTAGCAAACCAAATCCAAGAACACATCAAAATAATCATCCATCATGACCAAGTTTATCATGGAATAATAAACTTTTATCCCAGGAATGCAGGGATGGTTTAATATTCGGAAATCCATCAATGTAATCTACTATATAAACAAACTCAAAGAAAAAAAAACAAATAATCATCTCACTAGATGCTCAA